TAAGCCAAGTTTACACAATATTTTCTTATTATTACAATTTAACAATTCAATAATTTTGAACATACTAGCTTGGTCTAACATAGTAGTATCTCTTAATATATTGTTTACGAATTTCAAGAAAACAGGTACATACTAATATAAAATGGTATTCATCTTCAATATCACGAAGATTACAATATATACAATATCGTTCATTTCTAGGAATTCTGTTTACACCATAACGTCCGGTTTGTATGAAGAAATACGTATTCTACTTATATAAGTTCTAAGATTTCCTGGTTTAAGATCTAAATAATGTTCATTAAACCCACTCTTCAAATTATTGTACAAATTCAAAACTGGGCTACCATTAATGTCAGAATGCCAGTTTTGTAAAATGTTATCCAACAATAAATCCAACAAATCCGTGTTTTTTGACAACGCTATTTTTGACTTAATTTGTTTATATTTAGACAAATATTGGCATATAAACTAACGTAATAGATAATTAGATAATTATCTGTATTAAAATATTAATTAAATCATTAACTGAATTATCAATTAATTATTTAATTATTAATTTCTAATTTAATCAATTAAAGTGTTGTTTATTTTTGTTACAGAAAAGTTCCTTTATTTCTTTCCCAGGGTACATGGCAATACAACATATACAGATTCAATATGATAAACAAACTTCCGGTAGCACTTTATCAGCCGATGAATGGTGTTTTGATTCAAAATAGCATGAGGATTCAGTAACATTTAATGATAAAGATGTTTATTTTGGGAGAATCCTTCAACTAAGATTTAATGCGTACATTGATGTTACAATTTTAGTACTCGGGGAAAAGTGTGTGTACGTATTCCTAACTTCACTAGAAAATATGACGGCATTTACCCTATTGTAACAGTCGTAAACAAACATTTGTGTGTGGTCGTCAATACTTTAATTACATGATACGGACGATCATTACATTTGGTGCATATATTGGTAAAACACCAACAGATAGCTACAACGAACTGGGACAAGTTCAGTGTCACGAAGACTTATTTTTTAAATGGCGCAAGAGAGAGAGAGAGAGAGAGTCGGTAGACGATGACAACCGGTCAGGCAAAGTTCGTCTGTAAAGCCGGCGCATGTGACGAGGGTTGTCCAATATATTCTTGCACTGGTGGAATATGTTACATGTATGTTGCATAAAAACAATAAAAACTACACAATACCTTGCATCAATCATTCCTCTATTGACAGTAAAACAAATTATAACATAAAAAGCAAATACCACATTACAAGCAACAAACAATTAATACAATTACAGTAATGAACTAACCCATTTTTTTGTCGTGCGCCGGTATTACGTTACTAAGGTAACTCAATGATCATTCTTTTACACGACACGCCGGTTACTCGGCTTTTTCTTTTGTTTTCTTATTTGAGACATATTTCTCCTTCAAATGATATATAATTCATTTGTTTTCATTAATAACTCTCACGACAATAACTGCAGTGCACGAATTTTTTGGACAACCCTCGTATACTGGTGTATGTTTTTGAATGGTAAAGATGATAAGATTAGTAATATTTTATATAAAATATGATAAACAAGATCAACAAGGAAAGGCGGCGTTCAATGAACGCAACCCCCACACAACCAAGCAACAAGAATCAGTGGCAAGGAGCCCAGACGGAACCCAAACAAAAACAGGACAGGGCACAAAGCAGAGCACGGACAGGCTAATCGCTAAAATTATAAATAATTTGTAACTGACAAAGAATTCAATGAAAACAAATAAATGACTGAACAATAGGACTTGAAATCTCAGCGTAGATATCCCCAAGCACGATAGAAGTGAGAAAAAATGCAAAGTTAGCTATGTTGACTTTGTTCATAAAAGTTTAATGAAAAATCAAAACCACCCATTTACATACTTATAGCCGGCGAAGGCTATGACAGATTGCTACAGTGATGACAGAAACATAAAATTTACTTAGTTATAAATTCGGTAAATAATGACAACTTCATTGCTATAAAACATGCATGTGTTTTTAATAAAATTAAATAAGAAAAAATTCAAATGACTGATATTTTGATGCAAATTAGAAACTCCGTTCAAATAAAATGCCCATACCTTTGCAGCACAAAGTTTTAAGGATTTTTTTTTACAACTTTTTATAATTAGTGATTGAAAATCTAATTCCAATAAATGGTCGTTAGGGTCTGTTATCCTTAATTTCTTAAAAAAAGAATACCAATGGGACGGTTTCATTTATAGATATCAGAGGGAGGAAATGATTGTTTAGTGCATAACACCAACGAAAAAGTCGGTTAGACTAGTATGGAACGCCGTGACTGTCTTATGCTATCAATGTTTTTGCTATCTTCTGAAATGATGATATTATTTTGTCATTTAAGCATATAAACATGTGCAATTTACATCATATCTTGTCTAAAGACAATGCTGACTTGTTCAAACAGCATGTTAACTTGTCAAATAATCATTATGACATGTGCAGACAACATGTTAACTTGTCAAAGTATCATGATGACTTGTGCAAACGACATGTTAACTTGTCAAAATATCATAATGACTTGTGCAAACGACATGTTAACTTGTCAATATTTCATGATGACATGTGCAAACAGCATGTTAACTTGTCGAATTATCGTGATGACATGCTCATAATACCTTAACAAGTTAACATGTGTTTTGCACAAGTCATTACGATTCTTTGACAAATTAACATGTTGTCTGCACAAGTCATCATGATACATTGACAAGTTAACATGGCATTTGCACAAGTCATCATGATACATTGACAAGTTAGAATGTAGTTTGCACAAGTCATCACGATACTTTGACAAGTTAACATGCTGTTTGCACATGTCATCATGAAATTTAGACAAGTTAACATGTTGCTTTTACAAGTCATCATGATACTAGGACAAGTTAACATGCTGTATGCACATGTCATAACGATAATTCGACAAGTTAACATGCTGTTTACACATGTCATCAATGAATTTTGACATGTTAGCATGGTATTTGCACAAGTCAGCATGATACTTTGACAAGTTAACAGTGCTTTTTGACATGTCAGCATGATACAAGATAACATGTCATTTGCACAAGTCATCACGATTCTTTGACAAGTTCACATGTTGTCTTCACAAGTCATCATGGTTATTTGACATGTTAACATGCTGTTTGCACAAGTCATCATTATACTTTGACAAGTTAACATGCTGTTTGCACATGTCATCACGATAGTTCGACAAGTTAACATGTCCTATTCACAAGTCATCATTATACTTGGACAAGTTAACATGTCGTTTGCACAAGTCATCATGATACTTGGACAAGTTAACATGCTGTATGCACATGTCATAACGATAATTCGACAAGTTAACATGCTGTTTACACATGTCATCAATGAATTTTGACATGTTAGCATGGTATTTGCACAAGTCAGCATGATACTTTGACAAGTTAACAGTGCTTTTTGACATGTCAGCATGATACAAGATAACATGTCATTTGCACAAGTCATCACGATTCTTTGACAAGTTCACATGTTGTCTTCACAAGTCATCATGGTTATTTGACATGTTAACATGCTGTTTGCACAAGTCATCATTATACTTTGACAAGTTAACATGCTGTTTGCACATGTCATCACGATAGTTCGACAAGTTAACATGTCCTATTCACAAGTCATCATTATACTTTGACAAGTTAACATGGCGTTTGCACAAGACATCATGACATTTTGACAAGTTAACATGCTGTTTGCACATGTCAGCACAATAATTTGACAAGTTCACATGATGTTTGCACAAGTCATCATTACATTTTGACAAGTTACCATGTCATTTGCACAAGTCATTATTATACTTTGACAAGTTAACATGTTGTTTGCACAAGTCATCACGATACTTTGACAAGATAGCATGTTGTCTGCACATGTCATCATAATAGTTTGACAAGTTAACATGCTGTTTGTACAAGTCAGCATGTTCATTTGACAAGACATGATGTAAATTGCACATGATAACATGCTCAAACGACAAAATAATATCATCGTTTCACAAGATAACAAAAACATTGATTACATAAGACAGTCACGGCGTTCCATAGACTAGGGTGTAAAATTAAGTCTTAGTAAGGACTTGCATACCACTGATACCAGATACCTATGCACATTAGTTCAGTTATCATTTGCATACCATTTCATTCTTGCACGTACAAGCCCCATTTTCTAAAAGAAAAAAATAATAATATATACTCAATTGGTTAGTTTCATTTCCGAGTGAAATAATGTTTGTTTCCGAAAATTTGACTATTAACATGTGAACATTGACCTACAAATAAGACAAATGACAATCCGTTAACGGCAGCAACCGGTATTCAGTAAAAGCTAAAAAAAAAATCGTCTGTATTAAGTGCAAATAGGGTTATGAATTTAATTATTTTAGATTAGCCAAAATGCATGAAAAGTGTCATTTGTTCTCCTGCATAGGAGGAAAATAAGTCTAATTAGAGGTTTATAACATGCAGGGCTTTATAAATCTCACAAGGGTCTTTCAGTTAGAAATATTCAAAAGATGCACCTAATTATGAGTTTATAACTCTTACCAGAGACTTTAATTTTATTTTAATAAAGCTCTGTGCTCTTACGTTATGACTTTAAATTATATATTATCTATAGATATAGTATACTAGATCTAGATCTACGTATAAATAGTAAAAAAAATAAGTAGTCAACTGCAAATTCTATTATTCCCTTTAATATACTACGTAGGAGGTCTAAAAAGCCATAAAAATATTTGTTATTAAAAAAAACTGATTCAGCCGTACATTTCGTGCATTTCATTAAAAAATGCGAAAACTGTCCGCTCGTTTTAACTGTGACACGGAAAGCCGAGAAGATGCGATTGTGCTTTTAGGGTGGTGGGCGAACTGTTCCGATTGATACTGTTCGGTTTGATTGATAAATTTCTGTGAAGTTGTGGTTTATACTAAAAAATACTTAAACCTAAATCCGTTTATTTTTATTACACTGGTTTACATTTATTTTCTCAAAGTAATTTTTTATAAGAATGAAGAATATTTTAACATAAATGCCGAATGAAGACATTTTATTCTAAAAGAGATATTTGTTTCCGCTAAAATCCTTCTCATATGAAAATATTTCAATCAAACCAGCAAAAACATTGACCGATATTTTTTTTTTATGTCAGGTATTGTGGTTTCTAGTGTTTGTTTCGCAATTTTTTGTTGATAAAAAATTTATAGTCTGTTGCTTAAATTAATCAGTTTTATTTAAACCTGTCTTGTTGATCATTTACTTTAAATCTCTGAAAGTTACCTGTTCTGTGGTCGTTTCGGCCCAAACCGAATCGGCCACGATGAACTAAAATCTAAATAAGATTCTAATATGTAGATCACAGGAGATTGACATTCTATCAATAATTGAAAAATATAAGCAAATAATTAAAAAATAACGGCAAATGTACTCATCTATACTCTTTACTAGAGAGGTACATTTGCCGTTAATTTTTAATTATTTGCTTATATTTTTCAATTATTGATAGAATGTCAATCTCCTATGATGAAGATCTAGAGTGGTTGGTTGTACCACGGACTTTAATTGTAATTTAAATCCGTGGTTGTACCAATGCTCGGCGCATACCAATGCTCGGCGTAAAAAAATATTTCTTTAGAATATCTGAAAATGTTTCAAGTTATCTCCGATTTAGGTCACTGGTGCTTTTATTTACATCTTTCACCATTTTATCCTGGTGCGGTTCACTGCTGGTGAAGTCACGTGACAATGCTTATAGCAGACGAAAGACCGTATATGTAATCAGCAACATATAAATTATTAAAATCTTTTAACACTAGAGTTCTGGGGCTGTAAAATTTAAACTAAAACATAACTTGGTTGTTACAATTTATTCAATACGTTTTCTTCATTAGATAAAAAAAAAATTTATTCGAAAAACAAACCTGCATCATGTTGTACTGTACGCCGAGCTATGGTAAAATTTCACGCAAACCGCACTTGTTTATCTGGGCTATCTTTAGCCTCCGCCATGTATGTAATAATGTGATTAGCAATTTTTACACAATGACTATTTAAAACAATATCATCGGTCTTGAAAATGGACATTGAGCCTTGTTGAGCTTTTGATTTTAATTTGTCATAGATCTATCAAATATAGTATTTTTACGCCGAGCGTTGGTTCACCCACTCTAGTACATTTTAGTTTAATTTACTCATAAATTTTGTATTTATCGGAAAGGAAGTGCTAAATCCTAAATTACTACTAAGTCATGGGCGTTGTAGAGTCACACAACTGAGACTAACAAAGTTTTCATGATAAACAAGGGTGTTTCAGAATTAATTCAATTTCACTAAATCTTAAAGTGGCTAGCCATCCGGGCCAGAAATGCTAGCCAAAAGTTCTAGACGTATTTGAGTCACGTTGGCTAGTCTATAGAGGCTAGCAGTACAGCATTTAGAAAAATAACAAAAACTATGATGATTATACAATTGATACTAAATAAATTTCACCATGTTGATTTCTCAAAGGCTACAGCTTTAAATAAGCAATTTCAGTCAGTTTTTAGCCCCAAATCTCCCCTATCCCTTGCGTCCTTGTGTCAAAAGAACCTTAAGCATGATCAATCTGTCCATTCTATGCCAGATATATGGCGCGATAGCTCAATTGGTTAGACCACTTATTATCACTCCTGAGGTCCTGGATTTGATCCTGGTTTACACCCTTGGGATATTTCAGAGACACTTTCAGTGTTTCCCACTTATTTAGAGGTGTAATGGTAAGAAATCCAGGTAATCCTCGCATAAATTTATCAGTGCTATACACTGGGCATGTAAAAGAACCAAGGGGTCAATTTAATAAGAGCTTGGGATTGGTTCCCGGATTCCCTTGTAAACACTTTACCAACCATAATTTCCTTTTCCACCTCCAACATGGTTTCAGGGAAATGTCAAGTTAACCATGTTGCTAAAAGGAAACATCCTATCCCAACACAATACTACCTTCATGGAGTCAAATTAAAATTGATTACCTCAGCCAAGTACGTAGGCGTGGATATATCAGAAACCTTACATGGGATGCCTGCATAAACAGGACATCCAAGAAAACAAACCAAACCTTAGGATTCCTACGCAGAAACATAAGGTAAAATCCCAATGGCATAAAAAATGTGTTTGCCCTAAACAAGAAAATATCTGCATTGATGATCAGTCACCTGGGACATACTATAACAGGACAAGCAACAACATGTAGCAATAAGCAGTCTTATGTAGGTGTCCTTTTGACAGCTGATCAATAAATAAAAATAGTACATGTAATGCTGTTTTATTGTCCCATTTCTTTTCACAGACAAAAAAAAGAGGGATAAAGAAATGGGCTCCCTTTGTCCATCCGCAAGGACTTTGGTGACATTATGCAATGAATGTCTCTTTTATTCTGTACAGAACTACAGATTGTACTTTAGGGGGAAAAAGTTGCATATAGGGTGAAAAAGGTTGCTATTGGGGTTTTAGAGATCAAAAAAGATCAAAAGAATAACCTTGGAAATTAAAGGTCAACATTGTTTGATGGAGGGTATATTTTTTTGTGTCCAGTGCCTAACCGTTTTATCCACCGTCAGGATTTTAAAATAATTTAGCACAAATGTTCACCACAATATTAGTCCTATTATAGATTTATAAATAGATAACAATGAGCGGGAATGCACTGCAAGATAACCATAACTCCATCTTAAAAATAAGTTTCAAATTATCTCTCTTAATGTTTTTTGTTGTTGTTTTTCCATGATAAAAACTGCTCTTGACTTATACACAGGAGCTATTTTATTATATTTTGGTCATGAATTTATTGTTACATGTGCAGATCTAGCATTTATAATTATAAATATTTTGCATTGAAATTGGACAAGAGTTGGCTGTCTGGTGACAGGTCTCATTTAAATTGGGAAGCTGGGGTCAAACATTTCACATCCAATTACATACATGTACTTCAAGGCTTCCGTTAATGGAAGTTTGGGAGTCATTTACTCCTTGATTTTGGCTTGTGACTTCCAAAATCTAATACTTTTCCTTCTTTACCTTTATAATGTGATTTCCAATATCAGAGATTTTGCAGTCTCTGACTTTCAAATTTTTAAACTTAATGGAACTCCTGATACTTATACATTAAACCTGAACTTGCTTGCAGTAAAGAATTATGACCTTTTCTTGCAATGGATCTCTTGGGGCTCGTGTTTACATATAAATTTCTTATTTCAGGAATAAATGCTGTTGCTGATACATGGTAAAAACAGTTACCGTCATTCATGAGAGTTAGCCACTGTAGTTAAGACAGCGAGCAAGGCCGACATGAATAACAATAAAGAACCGTCTGCATTGGAGAAGTCATCAGTACTGGAAACTGATGACCCTGGACATGACATGGTGAAGAATATATTTACTTTTTAACTTCTGATCACTTTTAAAAAGTTTTTTATCAATTTTTATTGAAGTAGTATTTGGTCTATTATCCTAACCAGTTCAAAACAAAAGCAGCTTGCATGCAAGTTTAAAACACTACTAATTTTTGAAGAGCGACCTAAATTTGCTTTTTAATGTTTAAGGTGTTAGTATAAGACTTTAATTATTTTTATCCTCATAATATAAATATAAAATGTTGCTTAAAAAAGATATCTGATTTTGATACTAGTTAATAAGTGATTGTTTGTTCAGTCAGGTGTTGAGAGCAAAGTGATATAAACAAGGTCATTTCTGTTTTTGTGTATTAAGAAATAGATTACTAAAACAGTAACTGATTTTAGATATCTGTTATATTTTTTTTCCTCTTTGAAAAATTGGTTTTTAGCTCACCTAAGTATAGCATGCTCCAGGTGAGCTGCTTTGATCACCATGGGTCTGGCGTTTGTTGCTAACATCTTTCTTTAACAGCATATCCACCTAAACATAGTGATAAAACTGTACAGAAATGATACTGATCTACAAATTATCCTACAGTGATACTTTACAAAAATTCATTAAATCATTACAGTCTGCCGAAGAAGATGATTGCCTGTGTGCCAAATATAGTGATAAGACTAAAATGACATCATCTCCTCATTTGATTTGCTGATTTTGATGAAACTTGATCGGAACTGCCTAATAATGAAATATTGCCCATTAAAACCAAATCCTCATTGAACGATTAAGAGCCATCACGACCCTCTTGTTCTTTTCTAGGATGAACCAGAAGTGGACACTGCATCAATGTTGAAATCGAACGAACAGTCAGACAATGCTATGCGAAGGAAATCTCGTGTTAAAGATGACAGAACATGTCTTGTTTGCGGTGATAAGGCGTTAGGGTATAACTTCAATGCTATGACTTGTGAGTCATGTAAAGCTTTCTTTAGGAGAAACGCTCTGAAATCCAATGTAAGTCTCATAGTAGTTTATTATTTATTTTACATTTTAAATTTTTTGTGTTTTTTTTTTGTGCATTCAGTAGCAGTTTCCAAACATAAAAAAATATAAGCCTATGCCATAGAAAATTAGAACCTCTAAAAATGTTTTATATTTATACTGTTGTAATTTTGCTAATATAACAGTGTATTTTCCATGCTAAAGTTTTGGTGTAAAACAAAAAAAACTATCTCTCATATTGCTTTCCATCTAATTTATATTGATATGCTGTTTTATGTATTCATGTTGTTTAAATGTTGAGTGTATATACATGTAATTTATGCTACATTATATGTTTATGCTTAGACCTAAATGGAAGATCAGTAAACTGACTGTTTTAACCTCATTAAGGAAATCTATAGGCACAATTAAACTGCCCAATAAAATTTCTTTAATTTTGTTAGAATATGTTAACAGAAATATTTTAAGCGAAAAAAGTTGGTGTGACCAATCTCACTTTTCAGTAATCTGCCCTTGAATCAGAATTATTTGAGGTCATGTCAAGGCTAGATAATATTTACAGATGTCTTTAAAATCTTGTTTTTACTTCTGAATTATGTTTTTATGCCCCAACAGAGTGGGAGCATATAGTGTTGCACTTGTCCGTCCGAGTGTCCGTCCGTCTGTCTGTACGTCCGGAAATCTTGTGAACGCAACTCCTCTTAAACCGGATGGCAGATTTTGCTTAAACTTCCAGGGATGAACAACCTTAATGTGTAGATGGTAGTAAAGGGAGGAATTTTTGCTGCGACCAAATTTAACAGAATTATGGCCCTTTGTTGATTTTTTCACTATATACTATGTAGAAATTTTGAGAGCGGAACTTCTCTTAAATCGGATGGCAGATTTTGCTTAAACTTCCAGGGATGAACAACCTTAATGTGTAGATGGTAGTAAAGGGAGGAATTTTTGCTGCGACCAAATTTAACAGAATTATGGCCCTTTGTTGATTTTTTCACTATATACTATGTAGAAATTTTGTGAACGGAACTTCTCTTAAACCGGATGGCAGATTTTGCTTAAACTTCCAGGGATGAACAACCTTAATGTGTAGATGGCAGTAAAGGAAGGAATTTTTGCTGCAACCAAATTTAACAGAATTATGGCCCTTTGTTGATTTTTTCACTATATACTATGTAGAAATTTTGTGAACGCAACTCCTCTTAAACCGGATGGCAGATTTTGCTTAAACTTCCAGGGATGAACAACCTTAATGTGTAGATGGCAGTAAAGGAAGGAATTTTTGCTGCAACCAAATTTACAGAATTCTGGCCCTTTGTTGATTTTTTCACTATATACTATGTAGAAATTTTGTGAACGGAACTTCTCTTAAACCGGATGGCAGATTTTGATTAAACTTCCAGGGATGAACAAGCTTAATGTGTAGATGGTAGTAAAGGGAGGTATTTTTGCTGCGACCAAATTTAACAGAATTATGGCCCTTTGTTGATTTTTAGTTTTCAACTTGTGGCACATGTAGTCCAAAAAATATTTGACCTAGAGTCATAAGATTGACAGAACAGTGGCGTGTGGGGGCATCCGTGTCCTATGGACACATTTCTAGTTCTTTTTGTTGTTGATCACAATACATATTAAATTACATGCAATTCCATATATTATTTGTGTTAAAAAATTTCAGTTTGAATAAAGGGATTTAAAATTCTATATAAAAAAGGTCTTTTTTTTTTCGAAAAAAAGCACAGTTTAGAGAAAATAAGGGAAAGCTAATCTGCTCTTCATTCCTTCTTGAAATTTTTCTCATTGACTTACATGAAAGTAAGCTACATGAAAATAAGGAAAAAAGAAGATATTGTTTATCTTCATTGTAAATGATTAATTCATGGGGAAGATAACTCAGAAACGAAAAATGCTGACCGCAACTTACTTTTTTGCTTATAATGTTTCTGTTATCATATAACATGCCAAGTTTAAAAAAATTTGATTGAACAGTTTTATTTTTCCTATATGTTTACATGAAAACTCCCAAAAAGGTATTAAAATAAATTTGATACTTACTTGTAAGTGGTTGATAATTATATTATCCATGTTCCTGTCAAGCCCCAAAATTTTGCAAGGATTGTCTCCATTAATTTTGGTCTTTCTGAATCATTTAAAGCTTGCAAGTTGCCATATACTGGTAATATTAAAAGTGTTGAATTCAGCCATAACAAAAAACTATAAAAAAAAAATGGTGACGAATTTCCTAAATTGTATTTATAGACTGCAGCATGCTTGTTTCAAGGCAACTGTCAGATTGATGTGCGGACCAGGAGATTCTGCCCACATTGCCGTCTGCTCAAATGTTACTCAGTAGGAATGAAGAAGGACATGATATTAGGTAAAAAAAAACAATTTTCACTGCTGTTAATTAAAAACTTGTTATGGAAGTTTGTTACTTTATGTGAAGTCTGTTCAGCTATTGTCTGATGTACCAATGGTCCTACTTCTGTGCCAACTAGTGTATGAAATATGGCAAAGATGTCAGTACAGTATGTTCAAGTTCCAGCACAGATAAAAATGGAAAATCATCTTGTTAACATTACAGTTCTTGTGTAAATGAAATCAATTTAGCAAAAAGATTTATTTATTTGTACCAAAGATGTTTCATTTTTGGGCGTTTTTTTTTAAAAAACAACAAACTTTAATGCACATTGTAATAATTCAATAGTTTGACAGTTTGCATGTTGTTGAAATTTAAGTTTTTAAGTTGGCTATACAAGAACATGTTTAGTTTTGAACAGTAAAATACTGTATCACAGAAAGGATTTCTCTTAAACTTATTAAGGTTAGATTAATTGTTATTATCAAATTGATATTGTAAGGCCTTTAGTGTTGCAAAGTAATAACTTTTTTAGCCGACATTGAAATCTGTCAGCGTTTTTTTACCTCTTTTTTTGTGGGGCCTTTGTATGTCCCTTTTTCAATGTTTATTGTTTTTGTTAAACTTCAGATATTTCTGAGAGAAAAGCCAGAATGCAGAAAGTTCTAGAAAACCGTAAACGTAAACTACAGGGATCTGATAGCACAGAAGTGAATACAAAACAAGTAATAAAGGAGGAGCCATGTGAAGAGGACATGCTTCCAGACCAATCAGATAGCAGCTTTCAACAGTCTAGTGGTAGCGGGAAGGTGGCAAGCTTATTAATTGATGACCTTACCAGTAACTCTAAGGAAAACCTGAAATTCTTACGCACACCACCAGTTTCTGATACAGATAGCAAGGATCCATCTTTGTTTCGTATCTTAACACCACCAGAATACATCTTATTTGAAGACCTGGGAGAGGCGTATGGCAGCACTTTAGGAGAGATGTTAGCTGACAGACCTGAAGAAAAAAGTTACAACAATTGTAACGATCTTATAAATAATTCAACCGTAGCGGTTAAGCGGCTTATCAAATTCATTAAACGTTTGGAAGATTTCTACGAGTTGAATAAAGACGATCAAATAGCAGCCCTGAAAGCTTGTGTTCTAAGTTCAATCATTCTTAGATCATCTTGTTTTTATAGTGTAGAGCGCGATTCATGGATCACAGGCACAGGTGAAATTTCCACGTCTATTCTACAGAAATCAACCGGTTACAGTGAATTACACGTGATTCATACAAATTATTGCAGGAGTTTAAAGGAAATCATCGGAGATAACAAGATTTTATTTTCCCTCGTACAGGTAATTTGTATTTTCAACCCAGAATGCAGCGATGTGCGAGAAAAATGTAAAATGTCCAACGTCCAGGACAAATATATCATATTATTGAAGCATTACCTTGAATCAGAATTCTCTTATACAAATGCGAAATTCCTGTTCTCTAAAATACTTGCCATAATTGCAGACATGAAACAAATTTCGGATGCTCACAATACCATCATCTTACAGGCCAATCCCGCAGACATTGAACCTCTGATGCTTGAAGTTTTAGACCTGAAAGGTGTAGTTTCAAGTCAGTCATAATATCAAAACGTAAATGTAAGCTTGAACTAGTTTGTATGAGGTAATGAGGAAATACTAATACTCTTAAAAATTTGTTGTGGGACTGTAATTTATAAGAATTTTGATATTAAATGAACATCATGGCAAGGTTGTATGAGTTGACAATTTTTATGTTTACTTGATCTCTTGTATAAATGTTGTACAATCATAACACTGATGTTTAGTTAATGGTTTTGGAAATGTGACTAGAAAATGTGAAAGAAATGTGACAAAACTGAAACATGTTGTACAGGAAAATGTGAAAGAAATGTGACAAAACTGAAACATGTTGTACAGGAAAATGTGAAAGAAATGTGACAAAACTGAAACATGTTGTACAGGAAAATGTGGGGGGAAAAATGTGACAAAACTGAAACATGTTGTACAGGAAAATGTGGGGAAAAAACGTGACAAAACTGAAACATGTTGTATGGGAAAATGTGAAAGAAATTTGACAAAAAAAAGTGAAATAACTGTACCAGTTATATAGTGTGACATGAATGCACCAAATTTGGACAAAGTCATAGAACCTATTTGATGTGTGGGAGGTTGAAATTTGACTGGTTGAAAGCATCTGTTGTTTGACATTTACAGAATATATTTAAAACAAGATTGTGTGACCTGCCTTCTACAGGGTCACAATGATTGTTCCAGAAATTTGACTAGATTTCTAATACATTTAGTTTGATAGAAAAGAAAATCTGTAAAAGTTTGTAAAGGATTTGGTGAAGACATGTTAGAGAGATACAATGAGTATGTGAGAATTGATGGTCCCTGGATGGAATACATGATTTATATTTGAATAATTTTGTTATTTAGGTATAACATTGTTGTAGAATGTTAAATATGTTAACCCTTACATTGCAGGTTATTGATTGGTCTTTTTCACTAGCATAGAGCCAGGCCTGCTTTGACAAGACCTGGGGTTATCGTTAATCGATTACACTGTTATCATCATGTAATTGATTACAGTACCCAAAATTGATTATTATATTTTAAAATTGTAATTAATCAATTACAGCTTAAATTCAGACTTCTGTAATTATGATTACAATTTGATTGACATTGATTACTGTCAGATTTAACAGAAAACTATTTAATTCAAAGGATGCCTTTGTTTTACACGATACAGTTTAACTTTTGTTTTACAGTTTTACAGTTATACATTGAATGTAATCATTTATCAATCAACAACTCTCTTACAGTAATTGTAATTTAATGTATTACAGAGGCAAGTCTTAATCAATCATTATCGATTACAATAAAATCTGAAAGTAATTGTAATTAAATCAATTAATGATCAATTTAATCATCACTTTGACAAGGCAGCTAATATTTAGCTTATTTGTTTTGAAGAAATTGTCAAGGTACATGTATTATGATCATCATCATTGCCATTGTCATGCAAATTTTTCTAACTTTTCAAAAGTATCAACATGAAAGCTAGTACATGTATATTTGCTTATTATGATTAGGCGTACATTGTGTAGCAATATAACAAGGGGCATTATCCAGAAAGAAATACTTTTAGAGTTATGCCCCATTTTTGATTGGATATTCCCAAACCTGAGTCTTTTTGAGAAACTCAGCTGGTTAAGGGTATAATACATGTATGTATTACTCTGTTTTTAATGAATTATCAGTACATTAAAGCTGAATGCCAAAATTTTTCAAGAAAATCAAACTTGAAAAAAATGTACTCTGATTTTAAGAAAAGGAAACAGATTCAAGTAATAATTTACATATTATGTGCGATTAATGACTGATTTTGCAATATTTATCAGCATATTTTTTCACTGCATGACTAACACAGTAAGGGCTATTGTTGCATATTTTTACCTCTTTTGGGTAATTTACATGGATTTTAAATGCTGTTTGCAACTTGTAAATTACTTTCTTTGTTTGCTTCACAAAATTTAATTTTTAGATACATTTCCAAATTTGCATGAATACATTTCCAAATTAGCATGAATCATAAATCTGGAGGCATGCTGCTTTAATCAAAATTGTACACAAAATAAAGCAGTCCCATCATTTTATCAGGGTAAGGATTGTGATAGATAGATAGTTTATTTATATAAGACATGCATAAAATGCACATGGTCACAAAATACATACATTCAAATAAAATTAAACATCAAGTTATCATCAAAGGTTACATTATTTAGTAGCAAAGTGTCATACAACTTTGGACTATATTAACAATGCATGGAGAATGAAAAGAAATAAAATAATATTACTAACAAGATAACATTTATATAATTATGTCTGAAGATTCGGTTGTTTTATTTCCCTGCATTTATGAAAGTTTTCAAATTTAACAATACTTTTTTCTTTTTTGAACTCAATAAATTTGTACATGCTAAGGGTTTTAACATAATATTTTGGTATGAATTTGTTTCTCAGGTCAGAATACTTTTTGCATGTAATCATAAAATGAAATTCATCTTCTATGTCATTACCACAGAAATAACATAATCTTTCAATTCTTGGTTTATGTATAGGTGGAATAGTGACTTATGTTATTGTTAAAGATATTTATTTTTCTTTGTTTTCATATATATTGATGGTACCGGTGATGTATAACATGCATATGGCCTTACATAATATGTTACAATTTATATATAAATATATATATATTATTGAAATTTTATCATATATTTATTATACTTAAAGTTTATAGATACAAATTTATTTATATGATACTAGGTGTGTATGAATCTATAATTTCATTTAAACTTTACAGTGATTAGTTTTCTTTTATCACTTGGCTTTATTTCTTTTTAAAATTAAAATAAAGTGCTCCGATGGTATAAATATGAACATGTAAGGTCATGTGGATATGGAAGATGTGATACGTAAAAATGTTTCTTCAAATTTTATTTGAGGAATATTTCAACTTACAAAAGGCAAAAGCATTTTCAAAAGCATCAATGCCAGTTTATTTTCTATTTACAAAAAAATTCTGGGTATCCAATAAAACACAGATCATTACATGTATTGTAAGCATAATATACTGAGAAAGTAATCTAAATTTAAAGTTCAGATCTGTATAGGTTGAAGCAACTTATCATATGATTCCACTTCTGTTTGTATCAAAGCAACTTTTATACAGGATAGGTGACCTTTTTCAAAATAGACATGACCTTGATAAAAAAGAGGGGTAATGACCTTATCAAAAAGGGCATAACCTTTGCTAAAGACGGTCATGACCTTACCAAAAAAGGACATGACCTTACCAAAAAAGGACATGACTTTACTAAAAAAGGGCATAACCTTACCATAAAAAGGCATGACCTTACCAAAAAAGGACATGACTTTACTAAAAAAGGACATGACCTTACCAAAAAAGGACATGACTTTACTAAAAAAGGGCATAACCTTACCAAAAAAAGGCATGACCTTGATAAAAAATCATTTAAGATGTATGGAGATAAGTGTGACTTTTATGTGAAACAGTTTATTGTTTACTCAGAAAGTGTAATCCCTTTTATAGAAAAGGTGTAACTTTAATGAGGAAGAGTGTGGTCTTTATGTGAAAGGCTGTGATGTGTATCAGACACTGATATGAGGATGGGTATGACTGTTATCAAATAGGTTATTACTAGTATAATTGCTCCAAATAAATGTGCTATCGTATATTGTCATATGTTTTAATGTTGTTAATGTGTGTGATTTGATTTATACCTCTATGTTTATGTACAATGTATTACTTACTGTTTGAATAATTTTCAATTGATGCTATGTTTTTTGTATATGAATTTTTATCATTGAAATGATATTTAAATTGTGGTAAAAGTATCTATAAGTGTGATGTTTCACTCATAATGGTAGATATGGGTTTTTATAAATTTTTAATGTATATAACATATTTGAATACAAAAAAACCTTATTTTTTAACACTTTACTTCATACTTGGGCTACTGTAGTTATTTATCAGTTATTTTATACACTCTGTAAAGAACTAACTCCTATATTCTTTCTCAGAAGCATGTTTTGATGAGGAAATGATAGCAGCGTCAGCAGTTTTTGGCTATTTAATAATGGTTTGGAGTTTCGATGTGTAAGAATTGACAACAAAGACCATAGAGCTGAGTGGTTAAATAATTCACATCAGAATGAGGAACCGTTGTTAGATAGCCGATAAACTCTGCTTGACCAACATTATTTCGATTCTAACATATCAAAATAAGGGAAAGTATTAACTTTTAACAAAATATTTTAAAGCAGAGATTATTTTCACTGCTGTTTTTCATATTGGGCTGTTCTATTTTGCACCCTTCTGTGGTTAAGGTAATAAGAATGATTAAACAAAAAAAAAAAAAAAAAAAAAAAAAAAAAAGATATTTCACCTTATTTTTTAAAGAATTATTTTATCAATTTAACACAATTTAAACTGAAAAACTGAAGCATCAGTCTACACTGTATTGTGTGAACTAATTGTGTCAGATTTTATTTATTGAAATATACTTAATGTTTTGTAAGCAGAAAAGTTTTAGAAGAAGGTATTGAATTGTGAAGGAAAGCAGTTTGTTTTGGAGAGATTTAGGACCCTAGTTATATTTGAGCCGCGTCATGACAAAACCAACTTAGTGCGTTTGCGACCAGCATGGATCCAGACCAGCCTTGCGCATCCACGCAGTCTGATCAGGATCCATGCTGTTCGCTTACAAACCCTATTACAAGTAGAGAAACTGATAGCGAAAAAGCATGGATTCTGATCAGACTGCGCGGATGCAAAGGCTGGTCTGGATCCATGCTGGTTGCAAACCCATTATGTTGGTTTTGTCGTGACACGGCTCATATATAAACATTAGATGTAGCGAGTTTAACTTACTTATACTAATACTGAAGTCATATCAGTCTTATATAAACTACATCTTTCATTTTACATCTCGTATTGTTTTTGATGTTATTAGTAAAATAGAACTTGATTAAATGAAATGTATTTTGTATAGGTTTTGTAAATGAAAACAGAAAAAAATTCTAATTTTGAATGAAAAAATTAGAGGGGGGGAGGGGGGAATCACTTGAAGCTGCATAAATTCTGATTAATTTGAAAAACCACATTTATTTAAATGAAATTTAATCACAAATTGAAAACGCATTTGAGCCGCGTCATAACAAAACCAACATAGTGGGTTTGCGACCATCATGGATCCAGACCAGACTGTGCGGATGCTCAATTTCAGGACCAGTAGGCATTACACTTTTACATTCAATTTTTAAAAGAATAGAATTTTTTCCTATTTATTCATTGGTTTTTCTTTCCTAAATTGAGACCAGCACACTATTAGGTAATACAACCACATTCTCTGGACAAATTAACATTTTTGCTTGTATTTACCCAGTTACCAAGACCACACCTGAGTAGTTGTAGTTGCATGTAACAACACTGATTGTCAACTTGCTGTAAAAGGTTTAGTTCTAATTACTGACACATGTTTTCACGACATTAGGAACTAGTTCTATGTGACATCAGGAACTAGTTCTATGTGACATCAGGAACTAGTTCTATGTGACATCAGGAACTAGTTCTATGTGACATCAGGAACTAGTTCTATGTGACATCAGGAACTAGTTCTATGTTACATCAGGAACTAGTTCTATGTGACATCAGGAACTAGTTCTATGTGACATCAGGAACTAGTTCTATGTGACATCAGGAACTAGTTCTGTGTGACATCAGGAACTAGTTCTATGTGACATCAGGAACTAGTTCTATGTGACATCAGGAACAACTTTTATGTGACATCAGGAACTACTTCTATGTGACATCATGATCTAGTTCTATGTGACATCAGGAACAACTTCTATGTGACATCAGGAACTACTTCTATGTGACATCATGATCTAGTTCTATGTGACATCAGGAACTAGTTCTATGTGACATCATGATCTAGTTCTATGTGACATCAGGAACTAGTTCTATGTGACATCAGGAACAACTTTTATGTGACATCAGGAACTACTTCTATGTGACATCATGATCTAGTTCTATGTGACATCAGGATCTAGTTCTATGTGACATCAGGAACTACTTCTATGTGACATCATGATCTAGTTCTATGTGTCATCAGGATCTAGTTCTATGTGACATCAGGAACTACTTCTATGTGACATCATGATCTAGTTCTATGTGACATCAGGAACTACTTCTATGTGACATCAGGAACTAGTTCTATGTGACATCATGATCTAGTTCTATGTGACATCAGGAACTAGTTCTATGTGACATCAGGAACTACTTCTATGTGACATCAGGAACTACTTCTATGTGACATCATGATCTAGTTCTATGTGACATCAGGAACTACTTCTATGTGACATCAGGAACTACTTCTATGTGACATCATGATCTAGTTCTATGTGACATCAGGATCTAGTTCTATGTGACATCAGGAACTACTTCTATGTGAAATAGATGTTATCTGGAGCTAAGCAAATGTGGGTTTTTACAAAGCTAATCCCCAGCTACAAACAAACTTTTTCTGTTATAGCTTCAGGATGCACTACCAGTCACAATAGATTAGTCAACAAAGCTATAATTGTAAAAGATATTTGTACCCCCCGGATTAGCTGGAAAAAAACTCAAAATATTCTTATTTCCAGATTAACTATATTCATCTGATTGTCTATTTAATGGCATTTCTTTGTTAATTGATAAAAAAAATAGTATTAACAAGAAAATGGGTTGTTGAGTTAAAGTATTTAGTGATTTTTTAGTGACATTGTCCGATTGAAGTTTAAGTTCAGCACCTTGTTTTTCATGATAATTTTTTTTTTTTTAATATATCTTGCCCTTAATTGACTCTTTTACCTACATGTGTTGAAATGCCATACCAATGATATTTCATTATTTTTCTGATTTTAAGCTGTCGGAAACGATAGCAGGGTTCCACTGTACATATCAATAGGCTAACAAGTTTTTTTGAAAATTTCTGTAAATAAGCACTTGAATAGTAAAAAATTTCAAGTTTTGTACTCTAAAAGGATGACTATGTTCATATTAAATTGGTACAATAGTTTTTGTAATTATTTTTGAACATTATTTGAGGGTGATAAAACTCATGTTCTTGCTGTATTTACAGTACCTAGAATAAAGTTCTCATGACAGCACTGAGATTTTTTTTTCATGGAAGTATTTTATTGTCATTGATTGATTTTTTCTAAATCATTTAATTAATTTCAATTGAAAAGTAAGCATTATTTCTTTTCAAATCTGGTATTTAATTGACAAGAAAGCATAATTTATTTTCAAATTTTGTATTCAAGATTATTGAAAAAGCAATGTGTGAAATAATTTTGAAGAAAAAAATAAACTCAGGGGGTACATAAATTGTATAATTGTTTAATGGACAATCATATTGAAAGCATAATGATTTAAGTACTGTGTACAGAATATGATATATATATTTATAACAGAATAGTTTCCAAATTGGTCAGTTTGTAAAGTAGAATAGTTTCCAAATTGTTCAGTTTTTATAGCAGAATGGTTTCCAAATTGTTCTGTTTTTATAGCGGAATAATTTCCAAATTATTCAGTTTTTAAAGCAGGAAAGTTTCCTAATTGTTCAGTTTTCATAACAGAATAGTTTCCAAATTAATCAGTTTGTATGGCAGAATAGTTTCCAAATTGTTCTGTTTTTATAGCAGAATGGTTTCCAAATTGTTCAGTTTGTAAAGCAGAATAGTTTCCAAATTAATCAGTTTGTAAAGCAGAATAGTTTCCAAATTGTTCAGTTTATATGGCAGAATAGTTTCCAAATTGTTCAGTTTATATGGCAGAATAGTTTCCAAATTGTTCAGTTTATATGGCAGAATAGTTTCCAAATTGTTCAGTTTATATGGCAGAATAGTTTCCAAATTGTTCAGTTTATATGGCAGAATAGTTTCCAAATTGTTCAGTTTATATGGCAGAATAGTTTCCAAATTTGTTCAGTTTATATGGCAGAATAGTTTCCAAATTGTTCAGTTTTTATGGCAGAATAGTTTACAAATTGTTTTGTATAGTTGAATAGTCATAGTAATTCATTTAAGCTCAAACCCTGTAAAAATTTGTATAAATAGCAAAGGATATCAGGTGTTTTAAATATTTTTATTTTCATCATGTACCTGTGTCATTGTTATGAATATAGGTTTGTTATATATTATATCATTTGCACTTAGATTGACATAGATGCTTCAGTGGAAATTTAGAGGTTGTTTATCAGTCAGTCTCTGTTTACATTAAAATTTTACATCTCTTATCATTACTCAGGGGAAATCTTCAAGCAAATGGGCACAAATGATTTTGTCATAAAAGCTGTATATACCTTGGTTCCTATAAGTTAGTTTAAGGTAAATATTTTGTTAAATTTCTTGTCATTTTATAATGAAGAAAAAAACATGTACATGTATGATATTTACACAGGATTAAATGTTAATTCTCAGTTATAATTTCAGAAGAAAGTTTTTTCCATCTGTGCTTAAAATGATTGGTATTCACACATTTAATAACATTTTAATACGTTTTCTATGTAATGGTTTCCAAAATATTTGCATTGTATACTATAAATGAAACAGATTTAAGTTAAATCAGTTTTTATAATCCTGTTAGAGGCCTGCAAATTAAGGGTGTTAGGATTTTCAAAGGTTAGGGTTTACAGGCTTGCGGAAGTTAGGACGTTAGGCACCTGCATGGGTTTGGGTAGGGTTTAGGGGCCTGTGAAAGTTAGGATGTTAGGCACCTGCATGGGTTAGGGTAGAGTTTAGGGCTTGCGAAAGTAGGATATTAGGCACCTGCAAAGGTTTGGGTGTTAAAGGTTTGCAATAAAATAAAACAAAGCCAATAGTGTGTGATCACTCAGCATCAGTTAAACTGAAAAGTCGTCATATCACATTTACAATTGTTATTTTACTTAAAACCCAAACTGTAAAGGTTGCAAACATCATATCATTTGTCTATCAGTGTTTTGGTTTGCCAGGGATTCTATCATGAAGGAAGCTTTCCAGCTTGATTACTGAAGGTTGGTGGTTCTACACAGGTGCCTTTTCATGAAAGTATGGCAAGGAATGGTTCCTGAATACTTCCTCCACCTGAAAGCTGAAACGTTTAATGACCATTACACTGTAGGTGTAAAGTTAACTCTTAAATGTAAATGATATGCTTGCTGAAAGGAGTTGTCTCCCTTGAACTTTTGAATATGTCAGTAAATGGAAAATAGAATTTCTTGTTTACAGGGCACATTTTACCTTCTTTAAAAGTTTAAAGAATATATTACTCATATTTGTTTGGTTTTATTTTATGAAAACAAATAGATTGAACTTCAGTTTTATATTTTGTTACCTCAGATTTATATTATTATAAGCAAAAATATGCAGCAATATGATACCTTTGGGAAAAACATACAAATTGCAGCTGGTGAATTACCTTGTGTTAATTTATGTTTGCATTTTAAGACTTATTATAATTATACCCCCACACAACAAAGTTGTAAGTGGGGTATACTGGAATCAGCTTGTCCGTCTGGCTGTCCGGCCGTCGGGCGTCCGTCGGTTTTTCCTTGTACGCCCAATAACTTAAGATTCCTTTGACCCACAGTCTTCATATTTGGCATGGAGGTTAGTCATGACGAGTAGATGACCCCTATTGATTTTGAGGTTGCTAGGTCCAAGGTCACAGGGGCCTTGACTTCATAAAGCTTGTCCGCCCAATAACTTAAGATTCCTTTGACCCATAGTCTTCATATTTGGCATGGAGGTTAGACATGACAAGTAGATAACCCCTATTGATTTTGAGGTCACCAGGTCAAAGGTCAAGGTCACAGGGGCCTTGACTTCAAAAAGCTTGTCCGCCGAATAACTTAATATTCCTTTGACCCACAGTCTTCATATTTGGCATGGAGGTTAGTCATGATGAGTAGATGACTCCTATTGATTCTAAGTTGACTGGGCCAAAGGTCAAGGTCACAGGGGCCTTGACTTCAAAAAGCTTGTCCGCCGAATAACTTAATATTCCTTTGACCCACAGTCTTCATATTTGGCATGGAGGTTAGTCATGATTAGTAGATGACCCCTTTTGATTTTGAGGTCACTGGGTCAAAGGTCAAGGTCACAGGGGCCTTGATTTCAAATAGTTTGTCGGCCCAATAACTTAAGAAACCTTTGACCCACAGTCTTTATATTTGGCATGGAGGTTAGTCATGATAAGTAGATGACCCCTATTTATTTTTATTACACTGGGTCAAAGGTCAAGGTCACAGGGGCCTTGACTAAAAAAGCTTGTCCGCTCAATAACTTAAGATTCCTTTGACCCACAGTCTTCATATTTGGCATGGAGGTTAGTCATGATTAGTAGGTGACCCCTATTTATTTTAAGGTCACTGGGTCAAAGATCAAGGTCACATGGACTTTGACTTCAAAAAGATTGTCCACCCATTAACTTAATATTCCTTTGACCCACAGTCTTCATATTTGGCATGGAGGTTGATCATGACTATAAGGTGACCCCTATTGATTTTGAGGGTCACTGGGTCAAAGGTCGACTAAAAAAAGCTTTTCCCCTCAATTGCTTAAGAATGCCTGTCCGCAGTTTATTGATTTTGACATTTTCACATTTGAAGCATGTAGAATACATAGCACTGGCTTAGTAACCTTTGGCAGGGACGTTGTCCTTGAGCTCTAAATGGCCACTGTTGATTCTGACAAAGTGGTATGCAGGGGTATTCACGCCATGACAGTGGCAGTTCTAGTTATAACTGTTTTTGATTCCAAGTAATTTTTAAAGATGAAACCTACAATTTTTATAATTGTTACAAAATAGTTGCTCAAATGGGAAATCTGTTAATGTATTGTTATGATGGTGTTGTTTTGGTAATAAATGTTAAAAGTAACAAAGGTTTTATCTTGTTAATTGACTAATACATTATGAAGTATGCGACAGAGGCGGTGAAAATGCTACAGAGGTGGAACAAATGTCACAGAGGCAGTGAAAATGCAACAGAGTTGGGGCAAATGCCACTGAGGCAGTGAAAATGCCACAAAGGTGTAGCAAATGCCACAGAGGCAGTGAAAATGCCACAGAGGTGGAGCAAATGCCATAGAGTTGGGGCAAATGCCGCTGAGGCAGTGAAAATGCCACAAAGGTGGAGCAAATGCCACAGAGGTGGGGCAAATGCCACAGAGGTGGGGCAAATGCCACAGAGGCAGTGAAAATGCCACAGAGGTGGAGCATAATTATGCCACATAGGTGGGACACTGTACCTGTGTTTTGATATTATTTGCTTGCAAGTAAGTATTTCAAAATTTTACAGTATAGAAACCTTCATTTCATATTCAGTTAGTTTGTTAAAGGAGTACATGGATTTTTATCACAAATGTTGGATTTTGACCAAAATCAAACATCCTTTTTATGCTTGAATACCATTTGAATACAATAGATGAAGTATTTCAAAGGTTACTGCGCAGACAACTTGCCTCACCACAATCTATTAAACTTACTCCTATCATCTTGTCTCTTACCACAGTCAATCAAAACCTACATTTGTCACTTTGCCTCTGACCTGCCTTTTACCACAATAAATTAAAGCCTACTAATATCATCTTGCATTTTACAACAATCAATCAAAACCACTAATGTCATCCTGCCTTTTACCACAATCAATCAAAATCTGTTAATATCATCCTGCCTTTTACCACAAACAATCAAAATCTGTTAATGTCATCCTGCCTTTAACTACTATTGATCAAAACATTAATGTTATCCTGCCTTTTACCACAATTGATCAAAACCTATTAATGTCATATTGCCTTTTGCCACAATCAATCAAAACCTGCTAATGCCACCCTGTCTTTTACCACAATTAATCAAAATTTGTTGATGTCATCATGCCTTTTACCACAATCAAAACCTACTAATGTCATCCTGTCTTACCACAATCAATCAAACAATGCTCTTGTCATCCTGCCTTTTACCACAATCAATCAAAACCTATTAATGTCATCTTGCATTTTATTACAATCAATCAAAACATGTTAATGTCATCCTGCCTTTAACCACTATTGATCAAAACATTAATGTTATCCTGCCTTTTACCACAATTGATCAAAACCTGCTAATGCCATCCTGCCTTTTACCACAATTAATCAAAATTTGTTGATGTCATCATGCCTTTTACCACAATCAAAACCTACTAATGTCATCCTGTCTTACCACAATCAATCAAACAATGCTCTTGTCATCCTGCCTTTTACCACAATCAATCAAAACCTATTAATGTCATCTTGCATTTTATTACAATCAATCAAAACATGCAATGCCATCCTGCCTTTTACCACAATCAATCAAAATTTGTTAATGTCATCATGCCTTTTACCACAATCAAAACCTACTAATGTCAACCTGTCTTTTACCAAAATAAATCAAAACCATTTAATGTCATATTGCATTTTACCACAATCAATCAAAACCTGCAATGCCATCCTTCCTTTTACCACAATCAATCAAAACCTACTAATGTCACCCTGTCTTTTACCACAATCAATCAAAACCTACCAATATTATCCTGCCTCTTACCACAATTTACAGAACTTACTTATGGTCGCATGGATATATTCTGTTGTTGCTAGCAGCCTTAGAGAGACAAGTTTTATTGAAATAATTTTGTGAGAAAAATTTAGTAGAATGGTTACCCTAGAGCTCTACCTTACATTCATATTTCATTTGATCTACTATTTGTCTTTAACAATTGATGGCTTGTCAGTTTTCAACTGTTGTTAGGTCATAAATGGCCATAATTCACAATCATCAAATGTCAGAAGCAACAAAATTAAAGTACATGTACATTTTGTATTTCTCTTGCAATATATAAATATTATCTTTTTTTCATTGAGCACCCTTCAAAACCCTGCAGAAGTTCTTATTAACTTCTTTTTAAAAAGTTTCACTTAAAAAAAACAAACAAAAAAAAACAAACAAAAAACAAGCTTAATTGCCATGACCTTCATGTTAATGATGCATTATTTAACTTTTTTGTCCATTTAGTCAGAAACTATCATAGCTTTCATTGAGTATTCATTTCAAGCGCGTTCACTATCAAGATGTGACACCATTTCAAAAGAGCAAACCATCCTGGAATTAATTTTTGCATAGTTATGCCCCCTTTTCTTCATTATTCCCCTGGGTAGCCAGTTTTCAAAAACTGTTATGAAAAAATCACTTCAAACTTTAAACACATAATCACTATCATGGTCAGGTTACAAAAAATAAGTGTGCCAAGAACTTTTGCATAACTATGCCCCCTTTTCTGTAACAGTGTTTCAATTGTAATGTGAAATAAAAGCATATATTTGGTTAGTTCATCATTGTCATAAAAGGATTGGTTAAGTAACGCTTCTCAATAACAACTTATCTTTTTAAGTCAAAACTTATTCAAATTTGGGTTATGTTTATCTCATATTGGCTGTATTGCTCCATATAATCAACTGATACGTTGATAACGAATTTATTATAAAAAAATTCAAATTATCAGGTAATTCTTCACTTAAAGGGACTCGACTGAGGTACAAATGCCGAAAAACATAAAATTTCAAAATCCAACCGAAATCAAGTAAAACACTTAAAATGGACAAATCTGCAAAGGATAACAAGGCAGTATATTCAGGATTGAATTGGAAATCGATTGTTGTACAATTCTTAGCCGATTTTTTAGTAAAAAGCATTGCTTAAAAGCATTGCAACGCCTTTCATTTTTTGGGGTCATTTTGTAATATAAAAATAATTATTCTGGAAAAATAAAGAGAGGGAATAAGCTGAAAATGTGCACACAAATAACTGGTCCAGACCTACATCTATAATGGTACAAAAATCTCGGAAAAATATTTCCAATCATGCCATGTCACAATACTTCAGTGGAGTCCCTTTAAGAATATAAATTAAATTTCTATTGAAGTATATGCCACAAAACAAGCAAACAAACAAGCAAACAAACAAACAGCCTACAGACTAGCAAATGATCGACTTTTTATACATACATAGCAATTATCTACTACAGTTAAGTACCTTGGTGTAGTGGGATTATTATGTTACCCTTTACCCTTTTTGTCTACAAAATCTTTTGATAAGTACAAGATACTACCAATGCCTATTATCTTTGCTTACAGATTTTGGTCTGATAAAAGGGTAAACCATTTAAGACGGACATACATTAGTGAGCAATTTAAAGAAGCCCAAACTCTTGTTACTTCAGTGGATGGATTACCCGTAAATGGATTTACATTTAACAAGGTGAACAATGGTTTTCATTTAAATGCTTATTGATTACATTTATAATATATAAAAGTAACTTGGATCATCTTGCAAAATTATGATGGAATCCTTATTCTTGATGCATAACTTTAGTTTGTGACAAATACAGGCAATATTAATGTTTGGAATTTTGACATTTTTTTAATCTGGAAAATTATCATTTGTAGAGAAGTTCATGAAGGTATTTATGCATCCAATTTCTTATTATAATAATAATTATAATTACATGCTTTATCAATCATTCTACATCAGTACATTAAGGAGCCGTTGTCTTCAACAATGTTTATTCTCATTGACATTTATGTTAACTTTAAATATTTAAGTTTAACCCCCACCACAGCTAATATCTAAAATGGACTTGTCCATCTTTCAATCAGGACCTTAGATCATTCATCATTTTCAGGGGAAGAAAATCAAAAGTACTCAAACAGTGCAGACCATCTTCCAGGTGATCTTTGGCCTGCACTGGCTGCATGGGTAGTTTCATTTGTTGCCAGCAGACTTCATTACCGTGTCCTTCTTCATCCACAAAATTTTGTTAATAACAAACCACAACTAAGCCTCTACAAGGCGAAATTTAGTATTAAATTTTGCATGTCTTAAATTTTGCTAGTTTCTCGAGCGATAATTATCGCCTTTTCTAGAGAACACTGGGAAACCTATACTAGCAAATTTATCATCTTAATTTTTTGCATGTTGTGTGTTCTTCACGCAGTAATTATTGCGTTGAATGGCTCTAATGATCGCATGAGAGACTAGCGAAATTTAGACACAAGATAATTATCTCCTATGAAGGTCAAACTTTATGCTAAATTTCATTAGTCTCTCAGGCAATAATTAGCACTTCAAAGGTGATAATTATTGTGTGAGGAACACACAACATACAAAAATTAAGACGATAATTATTGAGGTGAAATTGTTAAATTTCACTACTATAAGTGTCCCTGGTCTATAGAAAAAGGGATGATTATTTTCTATGTCGCATGTATAAAAAAAATTGCATTTTCAATAAAAACTCTGATTGTCTCTTGAAAAAAAAAAATTCTGCATGAATGAGCGTAACAATTACACTTTTATGTCCAGGACGAAATGTAAAGATGAATAAGAGATGCATCATAGCCACAGGGTCTTGACCAAATTTTACAATATATCTCCAATTTCTATATACATTGTATAATTGTTTTCCCAAAACTTCACATACATAATAGTGTTAAAATGTGAATTGAAAATACTTGCAATGCATCCGATTTTCTTTTTTTTTCTCTTTTTTCTCTTTGTTTTCTTTTTTTTCTCTTTTAATCATCAGTCAAACAAGTTCTGACAAGTTATGCAATACCTGATGTCTTTTTTTGTATTTGTTTGTTAAATGTTTTTTTTTTCTATTTTTTTTTTTTCAGTCTTATTAAGATAAATGTGTTTTCAGCATATGCTAAAAAGATGGATAAACATAATGGTTCATTTAAAAGTTGATTTAAGAGATATTTTATGTTAGGGTGATTAATTGTTTCACTTAATCTTGACTTTTTTTCTTTGACAAACATTCTAGTTTGTTGTATAATAAATGTAACTTCAATCTTTTTACAGCCTGATGAGATTTAAAAAGTGTGGGTGTGACTTAAAGTCCAATCAAAATAAGTTATTAAAAATTCTTGCACATGTTTGCATTCAAGAAATTTATTACTTCATAATTATTATGCCCCCTGTCCCCCCCATGGTTTAAAAGCATGGCAGTCTGTATGCACATATTTCATCTCTTCCTTTTCCCTGTTTATATAACTTGGTAGGGACTTTGCCCAGGGCTAGTAGATGACCCCTATTGGTTTAGAGGTCAGTTGATCAAAGGTCAAGGTCTCCATAGTAGTGCTGACTCTGACCAATATCTGCACAGCCGCTATAACTTCCACTTGCTAGCAAGAAAAAACAGGAAAAGTCGCTAATTTTGAACTGAAAATCGATAAATAAGTTCAATAAAGACTAATCATAGAGAAATTGTTACTTTTATAACTAGGAGTTACATTAAAGAGATTATTTCTGGCCTAATCCCTATGGTAAAACCTATATTTTTTTGGAAAAATACGATCTAGGGAATGCTTTTTAGGAAAGGTTGGTCATGACAAGTTTTGAGGTCAAAGTTAAATGTCACTGTGGCCTTGACCATTGAAAGCTTGTCCAACCAATTATTATTAGAACACTTTGGCCTCCATTTCTTAGATTTGGTGTTGAGGTTAATCATGAATAGTAGATGTTGAAATATTAAGTCTTGTGGTGCATCTGTAGGCCAAGTGGTTAAATTCTTTCAATTTCAAACCACTTGCCCCTCACTGCTATGGATTTGATTTCTACCAGGGACTTTGGATTCTTTCATGTGAGGAAGTTATTCAGCCAGCTTACATAATGTCAGTGGTTCTTCTCTGGTGCCAGTTTGTGCCTGAAATACTAGTAATTTTTGGAGGGGCACCTTAGGTCTTCTTATACCAGTAAAGCTGGTTGCCATGTGTCCTATTCTGTGTTGGTGTGACGTAAAACCCAACAACAACAAAAAAGAAATACTCGTCTTATCAAGAATATGTCTCCTCAGTCATACAGTTGTTTAAATATATTAGTTATAATACTATTTTTTCATGTATAAATCTTCTATATATTAATATAACACTTGATTTTTCATCCTCGGTAACCCATGCCTACTTGTTACATATGCACTTCATTCGCAGTGCATGTGGTTCAGCGAAATCAGTACCCATGGGTAACCAATGCTGTTGATTTTTATGTAATATGCATATTAAGTATGTAATTATGCCACTGTGACAGCACATGAAGTGGATGTGTAAGTGTCCAATGAACAAATTTGTAGTAATAGAGATACCACTTTCCAAACTTGAACCTCTGATACACACAGGAAGTATCTGAATTTAGTTTTTATTTGTTTGGGTCATTAATAAACATTGTAACTGTTAGTTGTAATGTATAGTAATCATAAGATGTGGACTTTTAATTAGTATTTAATTAGATATAGATTTTGATCTTCCTTACTATGACATGTATCCTAGGCATAAATATTTTACCTGGCTAGGAATTATGTTTAATATTCATATTATGTTATTGAAATTTGTCTAGTTGCTTACCATTTTTTTTAATTTATAAAACATTTTAGTAAGTTTTGAAAATCAAGAACTTTTTGTTACTATATAACAAAATTGTACAAGATTATGCAGTGAAATCTTTGAAAAAAAATCATTCATTATATTTTAATTAATTATTTTACTGAATATTTATCAGTCCTCAAATTAATAGAATATTGATACATCTATTACATGTACCTGATTTAATCAATTTGATACACTTGTTTAATTTGCTAAATGTTCATTATAATTAGAAACATAGCTGTTTATTTATTTAGAACCTGATTCAGTTTAAAAATAAGGTCTGCAGTTGAACTATTGTTGCAATTGATGTAACTTTTAAAACATTGTTCGATGTCACCATAAAATACATCATCCAATGAAAAAGAATCATAAATTTTATTTCCTTCAAACTTAGAAAAAAACAATACAGGTAAAAACTTGTTTTGTTAAAAATTTGTGATTGAAAGAATTCATAACTAAAACATTAATCAATCTTGGTGCATGTAGCTATGTGATTAAGCATTTATTAACCTGGGATAGAAGAGCCCTGACATCAAGTTAAAATACTGTACTTACCTGTTATAAGATGATCAGTGAGACAGTGTAATCATTGACTTTCTAGTGTAGAGGATACTGTATCAATACAAAAAAAACAGTAAAGTTTACATAGAAAATATTGAAAAACTCTGAAAATTGAAAAAAAATAGAGTTGTGTATCAATAGAAAAACAGAGGAGTTTACAGTCATAAAAATATTAAAAAATTCAGGAAATTGAAAAAAAAAAAAAAATCTGTAAATGAAAATCATAGAAGGCTAACAGGTTAGAAGAGGAACACAGGAGCAACTTCATGTCTTGTATGATTGTGTTAATTTTTCTTGTGTTAAAAATGCAGGGTCAAACTATAAATGATCAGTTAAAAACTCGAAGCAGGACAATTTCATAGTTTATATTTTTAGCAAAATGGACATTTAAATTGTTCAAGTTAAGATTACAATTTAAGTAAATGAGATTCAATTGACAGTATAGCTTATATAGGATAACTGCAGAATAAACTGACATAGCAAACTTTACAGTGTATTAAATGCTATATATTTGCTGTATGTAGATTGCAAAATTATTATTACTCTTGTGATATAAAATGATTATATACCTGGAATGAAAAAAAAGTCAATATATTTTATCAAAAGCGAGTGGGACATATGCATGAACTCATCACCAAACCTTTAAGAATTAGAAGCTGAATATTTTGTTCCAGAACATTTTATTCTTTTATGTATATCAAATTACATAGAACTTCTATGTTTCAAATCTTTTGATAAAAGACAATATGGTTATGAAAGCAACATTATTTTACTTTTTTTTTATATTTCTATAATATATTTTTTATAAACTTTAGCATTTTGGCATCTATTAATCTGTTTGTTCAAAATTTTATTTCTTTCTGTTTTTAGGAGGAACATGAAACAACCACATTTCTGAGATTAATAGTGACAAGACAGTGAGTGCATAGGAAGAACTTATAAAGAAATGATGATATTAATAATATAAAAGTGTTTGAATCATACAATAAGAATGGCCCTCAGAGGGGTAAGTCAAAGTGTTTCTTTTATAGAAAATTTTAATTTGTTAAGTTATTAATTACACCTTTATATATAGATTTATATACAAACATTTTATGTAAATTTACAGATGACACAATGAAATATTCAAAATACATTCTATTTTCAATCTTTTTTAGGTACAATTGCAGCATTATTTATTGCATAATTGACAACAAACATGGTCTGTTATTCTATACAAAGAATCTTCACAATATTCATCTCTAGATGTCTGTTCAAATCACACCTTTAGTCATTATGCATGCATTTCATTAAAATTGTTCTCTGTTTAACATAGGAGACATAAAATCCATTCCCACATAACAATGCATTTTTAATACCTTACACTAAACCTTCATTACTATTCACGTATAAATCTTTTCCGACTGTATTGATTTCATTCACATTCTTTGTTCCAAAATGAATATTATTATTTTTTAATTTGTATATAGCATTTCCTGATAGACAATTACAAATTGATTTTTAAAGAAAATGTATTATGTTATAGTATATTGTTACTGTCATTTAGACAGGACACCAAGTGTCAACCAGTTAATATGATATGATTAATTCAAATGTTAAGCCGTTCCAGGTCAGCTGTTTGTCTCTTGTAACTGACAATCAAATCTCAACTGATACTTTGACAAAAATGCTTAGCTTCACAAAGGCATGAATGAAATCACATAAAAAAGCAATTGACATTAATGATATGATAATTAGTTTGAATAAATTTTAAAACATTGGTATCATATTATTGGATTAAACATAGAAGTCATTGAAGAATAAATAATATCACCAGCATTTACTTTACAGTACTTACAACATAATTTATTTTTACCTTGATTCTTCTGTTATTTAAACCATAGTTGAGCCTGCTTACTTTAAGGGATTATACTCAGGCAAATGAATGACAAAAATATTAAATAGATCTAATTTACTCAAATCATGCTAAAATGACATTTTTGATTTCTGTATAAATAGTCATATTTTGGGCTTGAAGCGTAATTATATCTTTGTATGTTGAACAAAATTAAGATGCTGACAGAGTCACCGACTTTCTAAGTTTTAAAACAAGTCATGCAACTTGAAAAAACTCTGGAAATTACAATAACAGAATTGTGAATATTGCTAGATTGAAATAAGTTTTAGTCATTCATTTGACAGGTACTTTAACGTTTTCATAGTTTTTCTATAACAACTATTGTGAAACCTAAATGCTCTAACCTGACCAACATGGGTCAAGTTTGGAAACCACCAATTTATTCTTTATAAGAAGAAAAGTTTTGTTCCTGTGACTGCTTAGTGTATTCATTTCGAGGACATTTATAGAATATTGACAGAAAAATTCAAATTGGAGAAATGAAAATTTTGCCTGACTGTCTCCCTTTAAACTAGACAATACTGGTGAGGGAACATGTACATACATTTAATGAAACAATTATTAGATACTGATCAAATTTTATATCTTCTATGGAAGATGTGGACTTTTGGAACATAAATGGGGTGTCTCAAGGAGTAAGATGGCCCATTGATTAAGTTGTTAGCCTCTTAAACCAGGAATTATGTGTTCGAACATTTTGTCATCTTTCCATCCAGCAAGTGTTATTATGATATTTTGCTGTGACAGTTTCTTGTAAATGGACTACTGCTGTCTTTATAATTAAAAAGATACATGGATACTCACTTTAAAGGTCTGTAGTGATCAAATAGAACAACAGGACTTTTTTCCAGAAACATCCAAAGAAAAGGGAGAGAATTCTTGATGAACTAATGAATAGAAATACTGAAAACTGTAGGAGTTATGCTTCAAACGAAAATGAAGGGCATATAATGAACTCGAAATGTTGAAAAACCGTTTTTCCATTTTAAATTTGTGTTTAGCCTTAACATTCCTGCTCTGCCATTATACTTGAAGCTTCAGCACAGACCAGTCTTCAGCACAGACCAGTCTTCAGCACAGACCAGTCTTCAGCACAGACCTATTGTTAGCAGCATTTTAAATTTTTTATTGAGATTATTATTATATTGCAAAATCAAATTGGTTTGGGTGTTGTTTGACTAAAGAGCATAATGAAGAAAATACTTGCAAACAAATGTTATTGTGAACTTCTTTCAATTGTCAAGAGCTATGGTCATGTTCTATTTTGTCCCTTTATTTTCTCCCATCATTCAGAGTTACAGTCAAGTAATTTTAAGTTATATCTAGTAACAATGTACAATAAAAAAAAATAGTTCATTACTAAGAATTATTAATTATTAAATGTTTATGATCTTTTTACTAATCTTTCAAAGCAATTTAAGTAAAATTATCATTCTTATTACGCATTGCAATTTGACACATCAACAAGTTTGATTAATTAATATTTCATATATCAATAGATATATCAAAGCTTGAAAAAAAAATCAAACTGACGTTTTTTTTACACCTGTAAAGCAATTTTAAACCATTTTTAATTTAATTTTCTTGTTTACTTATGTACAATCTGTGGACAATACCATTAGAGCATGCTATACACTAACTATTTTAACATAAAAAGGTATAATAAAAAAGGAACAGTATATTTGTCAGACCAAAAAGTAAAAATAAATATGCTTTAGAAATGTTCATTTCGTAGTGTAAAGATTTTATTATTTAGTTTGTAAGATCTTGTAAATGATAACAATTTTCATACATCCAATCAATGGTATATTGTTGTGTTTAAAAATTAGCGACCTGAAAGCGAACGTTTAAACACAATGGGCTCTATCCGCTTAAAATTCTATAAATTTTTCCAATTTTTTTCTTAATGTTACTTAATGCTTATTTTTTACATTCAATGTATTATCTGTTGGATTTGGACAGTAATAATCAGTAAGTTTATTCATTTTTTTTATCTTTTATTCTAAATTTCAAAAAAAGTAAAATATAGTAATGAAAGGTTAGATATTTAATGAATTTACTAACTGGTAAATAGAGGATATTTAAGTTTTTTCTATAAATACAGGATTTATTTTAATTCATTGACTGATGTCTTTCTTATTTGGAAGATACATCATCATCTTGGGTAGTCTTGAGTAAGTGGTCATTTTGTCTAAGGTCAAGGTCACTGGTGCTAAAAATATATTTTTACTTTTTTGTTTATAAAACCTTTATTAATTGACTGATGTGCATTGAAATACATGTACATTGTTAAATATGAAGTTAATCAGGGAGCATATATTGCATTAAGCAGTATTTCTTGTTTCTTTTGGTTTATTTATTTACTGTCACATTTTGCCTGCCCATGAAGAGATACATGTAGTTGTAATTTTTGGGGTAGTACATGTATACAGATGTTGACCCCAAGCAGGAGGTGACATACATGGGACTCTGCCTTAGAAAGACCATTTAATATTTATGTGGTATTGTTAGTGGTGGAGTAGGGGATTAAGCCTGTGACCCCTGAATTTCTAGTCCAGTATTTGAGCACTTGGCCACAAATCTGCTCCATGTAATGGACCTATGTTGTCCTCCTGTGGCAACTATATGCCTAATAAGATATGTGCACATAGGTTTATGACCAGCAAGAAAGCTTGTTATCCTTTACTCCAGTTTTAGGTCCTAAACCTGGCTCTGTTCTGGTGGCAAAGGCAGTTACTTTTGGCTTGAGCAGGTTTAGGGTTTTAGTTTCTCTTTGTCATTTTTTTTTCAAAAAGAATTGAAAAAAATAATTTTTTCAAGGAATGCATTTGCTCTGTTTATATAAAACACAAACACACAGAGTCAAACTAATAAACATCTTAAGTGTTAAATTATTTTATACAGTTTGTAAAGTATTTCAGTAATTTGTAGATTTGTAATTTAATGCACAGATGATTCATATAATAATCTAGCAAATATACTACCATTTCAATACAAGTTATAAAGTTCCTGTTACATAGAAAATAACATATAATGTATAACCTTGGTTGTATACAACAAAATTGTTTTCATACAAGAATATGGATTTGGAATTCTTTTCCAATTAAATGAGCATGGAATATCTTGAATATGTTGGATAATGTGAACATGTTCATGTATGTGCAGTAAAATTTGTAAGTTTTAAAGAAATATCTGTGTTGATTTACATGAAAATTATATTTTAATCCTTCACATTCTGAATTTCTTAAAGGCCCATTATGCCTCATAAAATCCATTTTTGTTTTAATCTTGTTTAGAAATGTCAAACATGTGTTTAATAATGTTTGAATAATGGATTTAAAGACGTTTTCAGGAGTTTTCATACACACATATAGGCAAAATTAAAACTGTTCAATAGAATTTCTTTAAACTTGGCATGTTATAAGAATATGATAACAGAAACAATTGGGGTCACTGTTCTCATTTTTTAGCTGTCTGCCCTTGAATTGGACTTTTTCGATAAATTCAAGGGCAGATATTTTATAATGAAGCAAAACAATACATTTTTTTCTTCTTATTTTCATAAAGCTTACCTTCTTCTTAGTCAACATGCAAAATTTCAAGAACAAATTTAGAGTGGATAGTTTTATTCCCACTTCTTCTCTTAACCTCTGCATATTTTGTTAAAAATTGGCATATTTTTTATCAAATTAATGCAACTTTATTTTCATTGAAAAAAAAATAAACACAAACGATATAAGGAACTGCATGTAATTATGTATTGTATTCAACAATAAAAAGAAAAACAATATCCAGAAGTAAAAACAAGAGTTCATTTATGTATGTATAAGTTACCTGCCCTTTAAATGACCTCAAATATTAGTAGAAAATTCTGATTCAGGGGCAGATAACTCAAAACGACAACAGTGACCCTAATTTTTTTCCGTTTAAAATGTTTCTATTATCATATTCTAACAACATGCAAAGTTTAAACAAATTCTATAGAACAGTTTTAATTTTGCCTATACGTCTATAATGAAAACTCCCGAAAAACATCCTTAAAGAATAAGATGATTTACGACTGAAAAAAGTAGCGCTGAACATGCAGTTATGTGTTGAAAGGTAGCAAA